CTGAACACTTATATATGCACCTATATAAACTGAACACATCTATATATCTACAAAAACTGAACACTTATCTATACACCTATATACACTGAACACTTATATATACATCTATATACACTGAACACTTATCTATACATCTACATAAACTGAACACTTATCTATACATCTATATACACTGAACACTTATCTATACATCTATATACACTGAACACTTATCTATACATCTACATAAACTGAACACTTATATATACATCTATATACACTGAACACTTATCTATACATCTACATAAACTGAACACTTATATATACATCTATATACACTGAACACTTATCTATACATCTACATAAACTGAACACTTATATATACATCTATATACACTGAACACTTATCTATACATCTATATACACTGAACACTTATCTATACATCTATATACACTGAACACTTATCTATACATCTATAAAACTGAACACTTATATATGCACCTATATAAACTGAACACATCTATATATCTACAAAAACTGAACACTTATCTATACACCTATATACACTGAACACTTATATATACATCTATATACACTGAACACTTATCTATACATCTACATAAACTGAACACTTATCTATACATCTATATACACTGAACACTTATCTATACATCTATATACACTGAACACTTATCTATACATCTACATAAACTGAACACTTATATATACATCTATATACACTGAACACTTATCTATACATCTACATAAACTGAACACTTATATATACATCTATATACACTGAACACTTATCTATACATCTACATAAACTGAACACTTATATATACATCTATATACACTGAACACTTATCTATACATCTACATACACTGAACACTTATCTATACATCTACATACACTGAACACTTATCTATACATCTACATAAACTGAACACTTATATATACATCTATATACACTGAACACTTATCTATACATCTATATACACTGAACACTTATCTATACATCTACATACATTGAACACTTATCTAGTCACAATAATACACTAAGTGGGTTTGTTTTAGTGTGCTCATCATTAAATATTAATAAACACACTTGACTGTTTTGACATTTGCATCTGAAAATCAAAGTATGGATACTTTTTTGGTCACGTGATACGTGTATCATTTCAGAGTCTGGTTAATTTTGGTGTTGCCGCCGACGTGATATAAAAAACACACACTAAAGCCTCGATTTTATCTTGTAGCATAATTTAATTCTATGCGTGTATTCTTAATTACAGGTATATGTGGTGGCGATGTGTATATACCAGCATATGGATCATACACGATAAACTCACCCGGATACCCCAATCCATATCCATCGTACTGTGACTGTAGATGGCGGATACATACTGACGTCGGTTATAGTATGATAATCACTATTCAACACTTCTCCGTCAGGCATTCTGATGCGTACTTGTACATATACAATGGAGCAAATGAAACATCATCTGCGGCGTTGTCGTTAACTGGTTCATCTTCGTCGCAATTACCTACACACGGCTGGAGATCAACATACAATGACGTATTTCTACACTTCACTTCAAGTTATTATTATAACGTTTACAGTGGTTGGGAGATACGAATAGTGTCACAACTATGTGAGTGAAAATCCTACAGTTTTTAGTATTATAATACAGGGGGTCATTGGATATAGCATATCATATATATACTCCAAAGTTGTGTACCATTATATTAGATGACGCGATGTCATTATATTATATGACGTGGTGCCATTATATTGGATGACGCAGTGTCATCATATTGGATGACACTGTGTCATTATATTGAATGACGCGGTGTCATTATATTATATGACGCGATGTCATCATATTGGATGACGCGGTGCTATTATATTGGATGAAGCTGTGTCATTATATTGGATGACGCTGTGTCATTATATTGGATGACGGGTGCCATTATATTGGATGCATTACTTGTTTACACTTGTACTTGTATCGTTACATTACAGTAGTTGCCAGTAAGCACAAAACATGTCAACTTGCTTGACGTTGTGAACTATAAACAGATTTGTGAGAATTTTAGATGATGATATGACGCTTCCTTGTATGTTATCTGGTGTCGTTTTCTTTTTTTCTGCCTTTGCCTTTTTTTTCACTCCAGTGGGGGTACTGGTATCATCTATGTCAGCGGGCCGACAATCGGTATATGCGTTCGTGCATGTGCTTACGCCAACAAATCATTTGCATATAACAGCGTCCGGATTACTTTCGGAAATTCCGTCGCGTTTCGGAAAGTTTTAATTTTCACAACTTTTGAATATTTATTCATACTTTTAGGTTAGTGAAGAAGTTATAATAACTTTTCATTTCACTTTAACTCTGTTTTTTTTTCACCCCTCAGACCCCTTTAAAAAGTCACTTCTGGCCATTATAATGGCCACTATTTTTTTAATGGCCAGAATATCAACCAGAACTTTTTTAATGTTCAAAATATTGACCAGTATTTTCAAACTGGTAGTTATAATGACCACTATTTTTACACTGGTCAGAATAATAGTATTTTTTTGACATTTTTTTAATGGGTATTAGAATGATCATTTTATTTTTCATTACATGAATAAAATGGTCATTTTTTTCATGTCAAAGATATACCCGGTAATGGCACATGGGGATTGACAGCTCTCCTCTTTTTCCTCCCTTGATTCAGTTTGCTTCAATTTTAAGCCAGTACAATTGTAGGTAAACGTAAAATACGAGATTTTGAAAAATTTGAATTATGGAATCATATATCTAGAAAAAAAAGTTTTGGGTTAATTTGTTTTTAAAATCACAACAAATCATGCACTTGATACTTAATAATATATAGTGTAATGCAATAGGTTATTAAACATAGAAGATGATCCATTTTCAATATACGGTCTAGACCCATATCACAGGCGCTAACGAAGTGTGTGCAAACATTGAGCCCAGGCTAATCACCCAAAATACCATTGTACTTGAAGTCCTTTTGAAAATTTAACTATTATATTCATAACTATTCTTATTCATAACTATACTAAATTGACAATCAATACAAGCACATTCTGTGACATTATTCTTGAGATAAAAATGGACTGACAATGAGACTGTGTACTACTTTCTGTTCTTATAAAGGCAATGTCCAGCAGTATAATAATACCTTGAACAAACAAACAATACATTCACTACTGGACCTTCGAACAGTGTGCAACCCCCAAAATACTCAGCAACTGACTTTCCACCAAAAAAGTCACATAAACAGCTAATTACTCCAAAAAGTCGCAGGAAGTTACTCCAAAAAGTCACATATACAGCGAGTTATTTATCCGAAAAAAGAGCCTGTCTTTATGAGTGGGGTTAAGCTCAAACATAAACAAAATTCACATTTTAATAACGACAAAAAACTTCAGTCTTCAAATACACCCAAAACTATAACATTTTACATTGAACTACTTAACCAGTAACTTTTCATGTGTGTTATAAACTGTAGAAGTTTATGTTGAAGTGTCGATGGAAGGTGATTTTAAAGTGGCTTAGACAGAGTCAATTAAAAAATACCCATGATGCTCTGCTTCATTTTTATATTTTGCCATTTTTTTCTATTATGAATAATTTAATGCGATATGAAAAATATCTGTGAAAATATTTTGTGTACAAAACGGTGTTGGGAACAGCATATAACGGCGTTACATAATGCAGAGTTTTATTAGTGCATGTCGTAGACAGCGAACCAAATTGGAGTTGTTGTACGCTCTAATACAGTGACCCAATCAGTGTGGAAGCGTGTACTGAGTAATGACTGGTGGGATACTAGTAGACGACTTCCCCAGAAGTCGAAGATATAGTGTTTCGCATGTGCGCGCATGCCGTTTTGGGGTGTAACGTAAATTTGCACATGTGATATTGTGCTTCTGAGTGTACCAATCAACGTCACAAAATTTCCCTTCTATCAACTATCAGCAAACTAGTATCGGAAGCACCACAATGGTTTAAAAAAACAATTGAAAAAACTGCAGATATTAATAAAAAAATAAGCATTATAAATCAATAAAACATGGAAAAGGAATGAAAACAAATATTAATAAAGGAGAAAAATATATGGTGGTTGTTTCGATAATTGGTTGTGGTTGGTTTATTTCGGTTAACAGTGTAGTTATGGCACTGTACCATTGCTGTTTAATTGCTGCCTCCTTTGGGAAACAAGTTTGGGTGTTCTTAGCCAGTGCACAGACCCTCAACACTGTGGCCTGTGCTATAATTTAACTGTTGGGTCCTCCTGTGAGTGAACACAATTGGTTTAGCTGAAATGCAAACATTTGGGATTAGCTTAAATCTTAGCCTGCACTTGGTCAAAGTCCCTCCACAGCCCCTCTATCCCCGGTCTAGAAACGGCTATTCTCTAAGGTGTGAATTACCGGCTCTGCTAGGACTGCGCTGGGTATGGCTTTCTGTGAAGCATATTATCTTGATAGCAGAGCATTCTATTGAAAAGATCGATTTATAGTTCCCTTCATATTCTAGTTTTTACAAATGAAAAAAAAATATTTTGATATTTTATATAGATTTAAAGTAGATTTATAGATTTGTCTATGGTGGCATATTGACATTATTATTCGTGAATATCGCACTTATATTTGAGGGACTCAGGGATCGCAACTTGGAACACTTCTAACACCTTACAGGTTGGCCCCTTCTATTTGTCATGTGTTTTAGAAAGATCAATGTTTTTTCGTTTATTGGATATATTAAACCCAGTTGTAGTTGGTGGATCGGTTCATTGTGCTTGTTTTATTATATTATATACAGTATACGTATCATATTTAGGCATCACTTGTTCCGTTCAAAATAAAGATGGCCTCTCGCCGATTCATTTCCATTCGAATTTTTGTGTCATTATTTTTGTTTCCAAGCATATATTTGGGATATAGTTTACAATGCTGGTCTCTAAGAATAACATCCTGCAGTATCAATTCTTTAGCACTGCCAGAAATTGAGTAGGCAGACTTTTTTTCGCCCCGATGAGAATTTATTTATGGGCAGCATTTTGTTTTTGATTTACTAACTTACTCGACGGGAGTCAGCCGTTTGACCCCTTTTATAGTAAGAAAACTGTATCGAACCATAATAGATTTGAACATTAACCTTTTGGTGATGTGGTTAGTTTTTCTCTTAGATGCTCGTATTTTGATAATTCAAGGTAATATGTTATGTTCTGTTTAAAGTTTGTGATCACAGTGCTAAAGTTAGTGTACGCTCAGCTTTGTGGCTAATTGTTCAAGTTGTGAACTGTTTATTTACCCGCGACCAGCCCTGAGACAATAGACTGCGAAGCGTTTCCAGACCGGGGTTAGAGGGACTGTCGTCCCTCTAAAGACTGTGATTTGGTGTAGCCTGTAACCAGACTACTGTGGACCAGTGATGTTTTGTAGTGGATTACCTCCCTCATGAGTACATTTAAATAACAATGGAAACTAGCACATCACTGGCAACACATACAAGGATTTTGGCAAATTTTCTCCGTTTTGTATGAAACTAATTTCACAACAACATAATGTTTTACAATAAATTATACCAAACATGTATAATTTAGTAGCAGTAAAACTTTTTAAGTTTTTTTTGAATTAAGAATGCACCAATCTCACTAGGAATCTATTCAAATCTAACCCTTAGTGTGCAATTAATAATGGCTCATCAAAGGTATTGAATTACTGAACTAGAACACACATCTTTGTATAGTTTCCAAAACTAAAATATTATTTCATGCTCTGCCCCCTCTCATGTAACAGTTTGTTAAGAATACGTACATTATTTAAAATCATTTTAAAAATGCGACTGGAATGTCCAGGCCCAAACTTCTGCTGCTGCAACATCCGTCCATTCCTGCATGTACATGCAATTGTTTCTCTGAGATTCTGCATGCAGCCAGTTTATTTTTTGAACTGAATAACACATTTCTAGAAGTATTTTTTTACATTTCCAGATAACACTATATATAATTTAACAATTTCAGGAAAAGATTAGATTGCTTGCTATTCCATTAGAAACTCTTACTTCCAAGTGTGATTTTCAACAAGCGTTCATATGTTTAGCTAGGGAAACAAAAGCACAGTGACAGGAAGTCACCACAGCCGAAAGTATGACAAAGGCTTACACTTCAAAAAATTACTGGAAAGTAAATAATTTATAACCAAAGACCATCTATGCATAAACAACTAAAGATCTGAGTGCTTTGCAAAGTAAAAAAGTCATATGTAGGAAGTGGGATGGGTTAAAACATTGCTCAAAACATCATCTTAATCATTCAGCTCAAACACATGAAGTACAGAAATTGGATAATTAATGGAAACATTATACAAAACAAGATTATGTAAGCATTATTAATAGTATGCCATGTATTTGAAAAATCTTGATGTAGTGCACAGCCATAGAGACTGTTTTAGTGGATAATAGTATTTTAGGTTTGCAATGTCATACTCCTCCAGATATTCATCAAGTTTTCTTGAGAGGGGATTAGCTTAAGGTAGAGATGCAGGTTGGGAGACTATATTTCTAATTGCCTCTAATTGCTGTAATTACATGAGTAAAATATACTTTTTACCCATCAAGTTATATATTATTTG